AAAAAAACACCCGTGTGAGATCGGGGCCAGATGATGCTGTCAGTCTCCGCTGGGGAGGGGAGTCTGTAAAATGAGCCTAAATAAGAGAAAAACTGAATAATGTGTGTGATAGGAATTGTGTTTTCTTTCCCTTTCGAACCTAAGACAAACATACCTATTCCGTTTTGCAACACACACACACACATACACACACACACACACACACACACACACAGGCAAACACACAAAATGCTATTTCTCCTGCATCGTTGTAAGATGGTGCACTGCAGGGGTCAATGGATGCAAGCTGGTCAAATGATCTATCAGAGTTAATCATTTGTGTATGACAGCCCTCACTATCTTGGCAGGCTTTTAGAACGTTCCCAGTGTGGCAGCTAAGAGCTCTGTAACCTTTTGTAGTAGAAGGACGACATGTTAATTAAACTAGTTCATTTCCACAGTCCGCCCCACTGTTAGGTCACCTTGCTGTGCTATTTTTAAGACGGTTGATTGAACAAAGTTTTGATTGCTTCTCTGCTCATCTGTGGCTCAACTGAACTACCTTGTCATCCTTATTTGTTGTGTAGCTTTTAGTTTCCATTCTCTTCTATTGTATGGCCCTATTCTCAATAATCTATTCTGTAGAGCCTGTATAGAGTATTTGCTTTTTTATCCAAGGACACCTTGCTCTGACGGAGATGGACACGCTGGCGGTTTTTAAGGGGAATCCACTTATCACTGTGACACTAATAGCTGCCCATTGTCTCTATCTCTGCGAGAGCCAGTAAACACCTGATAAGGACAGGTGCTGTGCTGCGCAGAGGCCATAAAATATACACAATACTGCTTTACACCAATTAGGGGGAAGTGAAACAGACATTATAAAGGCGTCGGGACTCTAAGTCAGTTCAGTGGAAGCTCTGTAACCACAACGTTTCTGTAAATAGTTTCCTTTTATGAAAAGCTTACGACTCCCATATCGTTCGGATGCGTGATCGGTTTTAAATGGTTGCAGGGTGTGCCATCGTCGGCCAATCGAAAGAATTAGAATTATATAGATAACCCACAGGTGCCTTGAGAATGCAAATCATCCTGCTTATAGGATCTGTTTTTGTGAAATGCAGCAACCATCAAAATCCACTATTGATGATTCCAAACTAGTATTTTGCAATTTACTTAGCTATGTAGGTCAGAAGTGAACCCAGGGGGGTGGAGCTGAGGACAATATACATAAATCGGATTAACTCATTTTTAGACAACAAAAAACATCATCATTTACTTTAACAAATTAAAAAAAGAACAGTTTTAATGGTAATCCGTGCTTCAGTTTTACAGAAACCAGAAAAGAGACAGCATTATGTCTCCCTAACAACCTGCAAGTGAAGCAAAGCAGGAGTAGTTAAAGAGTAATAAGGCAATTGGCCGCTATTCACCAGGGGTAAGGCTCGGCATTAAGATAAATTGGAAAATGTGTTTTTGTAATTTGAGCGTGCTGACATTTTATGCTTTTAATCTCATAGTCGTCTCAGGGACGTGCAGCACAAAACTTCTGCAGTTACTTCCTCAAAATATGTTATATTTTTCAACATAGTATAAGTTCTTCCATCCATCATAAATTAAAATACAGTTTTGACCTACTCTCTTTCTGGTAACACGTTTGTCGTGTCAGTTGCCAACCATCTTCTTCCACATAGAACAAATGCCAGCGGTTTGTCTGACTGACATAAACTGGTAGTTCTGTGATGTAAATGTAATGTAACAGAAACAAATGAGGCAGGAAGTACGTCTTTAGGACGACTCTGTTTATTTAAGAGCTTATAACAGAACAGATTTCTTTCAAACTACAGCTATTATTTTATCAAAGCATAAATAAAGCAGAATTCAGAGAACAAAACAGAGCCTGACTCGAACCAATGCAAGTTAGTTTGATCTAAAAGGAATACGGTGGATTGCTGTGTAGTGTATGAAACAGATGGGATTACTCCTTTGCTTCCTTTTTGAGGAGGAAATAACAGCTCGGCGGTGTGCTCTGTGAGAGAAGCAACTCAATTTCTGTCGAATGAAGTATCCTCAAATAGATTATGAGAGCTCAAGTATTCCTGGAGGACTGACGCTGTTGTCTGATGTTGAGAGTAAAATCCCAGAACTCTCTCTAGACGGATTTGATCCTTTTCAGTCTGGGTCATCTCAGAATAAATACTGCGTGGTGATATTCGTGTTGGAATAAACACTGAATTTTTTTGTTAATTATTTCTTTACCCAGAGATACCTTATCTGTTTATAGTTATTGAGGTTGGTATAACTAGAACAGTCTACACCATAAATTCAGTAAGCAAAGGATTGGGTCGAGCACGAACACAGTGAATACACACTCCTGACTGCTGGATAAAAAAGGAGTTTTTCAGCGAACGATTACGAGCAATGTTTGCATCGCGGTGGACAACTTACCCATACAGACTGTAACACATAACCTTTGCCTAAAAAGGGGCAACACTTTAAGCCTCATTATGGCCTCTGACTTTGTGACACAGGAATTCTGACCCCTCTGTGAGATAAATGAGTGAGGATACTCTGGTGGAGAGTTTCTGTGGGAAAATAAGTCATTTTGACAGATGTTATTTTCCTTTGAGGAGATCCTGTTTAGATTTACCACTCCTCTGCCCAAACAACTGCAGCTTGTTAAATATTTCACTATCCCGGATCTCAGACATAAAAGGTTTGATTGGTGCTGCTGGAGATGACTGATGAGTGTTGCACACCGGAGCTGCTTTCAGTGTGTCAGTACAGAAAATAGTGCACTTTACTGACCTAGCTGGTAGCCTGGCGTAAGTAATGGGATTCTGCATTAGCTCGAGCACAGTGTTTGTCAGTGGCGGGGTAATCCCCTTGGGCTTCTGGGACTGTGAATATGTCCCAAATCCTCCGGAGATATGAGAAAAAACACACGTGTGTTCCACTGCCACTGCTGTGTGATTAAAGTGATCCTAATCTGTTTTCTTCTGTAAGATTGTGGGCTTCCTCTGAGATGTGAGGTGTCCCATGTTTGTTTTCAATATGCACAAAAAATACGCTACAATTCCGTATTTATTTTTGCATTTGACTCCAGTAAGTTACATTTTGCAGATACTACACTGAAAATGATGTTAAGCTGCTATAATACATATTACTGTTAACAATAGATAAAATGTAAGAGCGGTCGCTTGTCCAGATGAAACCTGAGAATTATGTAGTTCTGTTTTTGTTCCGCTGACCTAAAAGAAAGTCAATATTAGATCTGCACATTTTGCACATTTGTAGTGTTATATAAACTTAATTTTGCTTGGTTCCTTCTTATATACCTTTCATGTGTTCATGCGTGCTGCACTTATGCCACTGGCTCTCTGGGATCAGGAAAGTTTAATCCCTTTATATCAAAATGATGCTTCATCTCGTCCTGCTAACGACAAGCAGGGTGCTGCGTAATCAAGTGTTAAAATGGATGCTGTCTTATCCAACCCGGCAGTTGTTTGTCTGCAAAGGATGGTGAGAGGATTTTTTTCTTCAAGCACATTGCGTCGGAAAGAAGCTTTCTAAAGGGCCGAGGATGAGTCAGAGGATTGTGGAGAGCTGCCCCTCTGCCCGCCCGACTCGCAAGTATCACTGCAAATAAGCACCAAAAGACCTCCCTCGTTATTGAATAAAGCATTCAGCTGTTTCCATTATGTATTCCTAAGAATTCCCACAGCATGGAGTACCCATCTTAGGATCTTCCTCCAATTTCTTCTGACATCGCTCGCTTGGATATGTTCAGCCTTCCTGTAAAGTACCTTTTAAGCGAGGGGTGTTAACTAGGCACGGCAGTGGTTAGAAGAAGTAGTTGTTGTGCGATACTCAGTGAGCCAAGCTAATCTGAGCCAAGGGATCTGTGAGAAGGACCCAGAAATAGTGTTTGAATGGGAACAACGAAGCAATTGTCAAGGCGTCTGATATGCGATGCTCCTCGTATCAAATACACCATCTATGAAAATGAGCCGTGCATATTTGGCTTTGTTTCCGCTCTTGTGTCTCATGGACGTTTGTGCCGCCACTCGTTCACTCAAGCTGCCAACGGGTGAGAAAATAATGCTCCACTCGTCAGATGCCACAAGTGACCATCACATTATATACATGGTCCAGCTGGGAAAAATAAAGCCTGTGACTCTGCGCGGCTTTTTAAGCTGATTAGAAAACATCCGCTCTGCGTCACATGTGTGAGGGGTCGTGGACGGTGCAGCGGGAATCATCAAATGCTCTTAGCTCGGTGCAATTGTAGGATTATTGTCCTTTCTTGTTGATTCTGATCTAGATCGATACAACTTGTTATCGTTTGTTAACAAGCCAATGTGCATTACACAGTCACATGGCGTCCATCGAAAAGCCCCAAACTTTACAAACATGTAAACTGTAGCCGTTCATGCAGTGAGAAGTCCTGCGAGCTGAATTCGATCTCCACAGGGCTGATAGCACTGTATCACTGATAAGCGATGTAACAAATTGGCCAGTCCCCCCGAAAGCTTTTAAGCTAGAGATTACGATAGAGACGGAAAACAGAAAAACAGCCAGGAGTGTCAAATATACAGCTGTCATCAATGACGCATTTGATGCAGATGAAGGCTGTAGGATTACAGCCAAAACACATTGAGATGTGCTTACAGATAGATCCTTTTGTGAGAATAGTGTCTGTCTACCCGTTTTCTTTTCTACAAATTCCAGCCTCTCACTCTGTTTATTTCTATGATGCTTCTAGCTGTTATTAGAGCCTAGATAGCTTCCCTTTGATTGATAGCTCCTGTTACCTGCCGAGCTTCCACAAAGCACCCAAACAAACACCCTGCCCTCCAAAAAGAAAGGGGACGTGTACTTGACGCTAACTGCACCGCAGTCACATCTCAGTCGAGACGGACATCGGGTTTCCGTACTTCAGCACCGCGTCTGTGTGCATTGTATGTGAGAAGTATCCTCGGTTAGCACTGATGATTCTTTTGTGTCCTTTTTCCTGACAGGTACCTGGGGATAACACGGCCCCTCACCTACCCGGCCCGGCAGAACGGTCAGCTGATGGCCAAGATGATCTTGGGAGTGTGGCTGGTGTCAGCATCCATCACCCTGCCGCCTTTCTGTGGCTGGGCCCAAAACGTCCACACGGCCGGCGTGTGCCTCATTAGCCAGGACTTCGGCTACACCATCTATTCCACGGCCGTAGCCTTCTACATCCCGATGCTGGTCATGCTGGTCATGTACTACAAGATATTCAAGGCGGCACGCAAGAGCGGCGCCAAGCACCGCTTCACCGACCTTTTACGGCGCGAGCGCCTGGAAACGGTATCTAACGAGGCGCTGCGAATGCAGGGCCTCAAGCCGCCCGGCGTGGCGGAGGAGTGCGCGGCCTTGTCCCGCCTGCTGAACCGCGAGCGCAGGAACATCTCCATCTTCAAGCGGGAGCAGAAAGCGGCGACGACGCTGGGGGTGATCGTGGGCGTCTTTTCCGTGTGCTGGCTGCCGTTCTTCATCCTGTCCACCGCCAGGCCCTTCATCTGCGGAGTGGAGTGCAGCTGCGTGCCCATCTGGCTGGAGCGCACGCTGCTCTGGCTGGGCTACGCCAACTCCTTGATGAACCCCTTCATCTACGCCTTCTTCAACCGAGACCTGCGCTCCACCTACCGCGACCTTCTCCGCTGCCGCTATCGCAACATCAACCGCAGGCTGTCCGCTGTGGGCGTGCACGAGGCTCTGAAGGTCTAGCAGCAGGGTTACTTCGGCTGGATATGCATCGCCCGTATCGAGCAAAAAGTGCGGTGCGGCGGCCCTGTGCCTGTGTACGCTTGGTGCTGGCGAGGCGACACGTAGCCTACACAGCGGGCCGGTCGATAGGACTGGCAGAGTGCGGCTCAGTGATGTTGGCACGCAGAGGGACAAGCACAATCACTTAGTTTTGAGCGTGACTCACTCATTCTATTTCGGGACAGAGAATCACAGAGCGTACTTGATGGGCTATTCAAGTCGACGCTGCTTTTGTGCGTATGCCACAGGTCCGTCCTGGCACTGGATTGATGGAAGGATAATGTAGTGAGAAAGAAAATAACATGTGAAACACAAGTTACCATCCCGGGGCTTTCAGAGGGAACAGAAAGTGGGCTGATTTTTGTATATTTACAAAATTGAACGTTTGTTGTGTTGCACAGTGTCTTTTGAGCATCTTACTCTGAACACAAAAAGTGAACGCTTTGATACTTAAGATTTCATTGTGCTTTCTGCCATTATTTAATATTATTTATATCACCTTATCTCCAGCCATACTTTTCAATTTGTTCCTCGCACTAAATTGAACTAAATTAAACTAAATTAAAAAACAGGAGCACCTTAAATATCTCACAAATGTTTAAGATGTGATTCCCATTCATGATATTTCAGTGCTTGTTGCTAAAAGAAATACACTGAGAGTAGTTTGCTTAGCGTCTGCATGAATAATGTGTCTTACCCGCCACTGTATACATAAATCATAAGAGATTAATTAGAGATTCTGCAGTAAATGGCAGAGGCGTTTTTTATATCTCACCCAAACCCAATATCGCACACCTAAATTCAAAGTGAACTCAACACTGTACGTGTCAGAAACGATGAGGGTGGGGACGTCCTCACTCTTGCTATCTTTGCCTCGATACGCTTAACCCCCCATTTGGGAGCCAACAGTATTGGTCCGTTACATCGAACTAGACCGTTTGAACTTAGATTTTTTCACTTGAATAAATCCCATATTCTCGACTCTCTCCTGCCCCACTGTTTGTCAACAGTGTTTCCGTCTTCATTTTGATTCCCAAAGTGGTCATTTCCTTCCTGACGTCTCTCTCATCTGAACCTGTGACAAAAGTTGAGCAGTTGCGTGCTTTTTCTACCTCGGTTTTGGAGATTACTGTACATTTCCTCCAAACAGATATACCGCTGTGTTGTATCATTTTGTTATGAATTGCTATTTTATATTGTGTAAATCTGTCTACAAATGTGCCGTGATCGCTCTATTTGACTGCTTTTTTCATTTTGGAAACAAGCTGGGAAGTGGCTAACCATGTCATCACTTTGTAAATAAAGTAACACTTGGTTCAAATCTCAGTGCTGAGAGGAAATGCAGCGTTGGGTGATACTTATTTCAGGGGATCACTTTCACAAAGCGTCATTTGATCCAAAGTTTTAAATATTGATTAAGTTTAACTTCAACATGCTAATATTACATTACAGGTCATTTAGCTGACGCTTTCTATCCAAAGCAACTTACATTACATTTTTAACCCATGGCTTTTTACATTTTGCCCAGGGAGCACTTAGGGGTTAGGTGTCTTGCTCAGGGACACTTCAACAGCTCAGGGACACTTCAACATGGGACATGGGGCAGCCAGGACTCGAACCACCAACCTTGTGGTTCCCAGCACACCCTCTCTACCCCTGCACCACGACGACTAATATAGGTGGTATAGCTGATAGTTTGTAAACTTAAACACGAGTAAATATAATATCAACAAAAAACGTGACGATTCTTTGCAGCTGCTATCTGAATTAGCGTGTTAAATCTGGAGCTGAATATTTTTCTGATATCAATTCAAATTTCAGAAAGTGTTTTGATATTCTTCTCCGTCATAGCATCCAAAAATCATATTGGTTTCGGCCGGCCACATTGGACCAGTTCATGTTGTTGTTGGCACTGCAATTGGAGCTTAAGGACTTTTCTAATTATAATTGTCATAACGAGTATCTCTCCAAGTCCCCTGAACACTGTTACATAATTCAGCACTTATTCCACAAACAAAAACCCACATTAGAGCCTCTGGGACTAAATTAGTTTGAACAGGACTTTTTGTAAATTTCCAAAGTAAATTGTAAGTAAAAGACTGGAACATAACCTCAAAAAGCATGCCATGACACTTTGTTTCAGCACACGACAGTCTCCCGGCAGCCGTGTCAACAGAGGTTACTCTCGGGGAATGAGCAACGCTTTGCCCTCTCGGGCCTCGGCCAGTGTGGCTCGCACGCTGCGCCGGCTCCCGATGTGTGTCATCGCTATTATTGAACAGGAGAAGGGTGCAAAATGTATACTTGTGATGTAGTAAGTGGGGTGATAGTAGCAGAAGATGAGTCTGTCGCATATGTTTCCCGCAGTCTCAGTTACCAGCTCTGACTAACTGTGGAGGCTGATGGGGAAAGGGGGGGGGGCTTAGACTCTTGCTCTGTTATTTTTAATCTGCCCTAGAAATTCATGTTTGTTCCTGCCGCAGTTAAACTATGATGACCAGCAAAAGATAGATGATAAATTGATGATATGATACAGATTTAAACTTAATGTATTCTTGTTTAGGATGTGGTAGTTTAATTTATGTTGTGTTGCATATGAGACAAACAACTATGATGAACATGTTTTATATTTGATGAATTGGACAAGTCTGATCCTGTTTGAAATCTGCATGAAAGAGTGTTCATGCATTAATATTTACAATATGGTTAATATGCAGAGCATTGGGAGTTTAAGTGCATTGTTCATACATTAGTGATCTCCAAGCTGAGTGTCGCAAGATGAATCTAGTGGGACACAAGGTGATCACTCAGGTAGTAATTCATTCTTAGAAACAAATTGATAAAAACAATACTTTAAGAAAATTATACACAAAACCATCTGTTGGCAGCTGTTTCTGGACCCTTTGGAATATCATTGACGTCAATGGCAGTTAAACTCAACCACGAGGCGGGTCTGTGACACTTCAGACTGAAGACATAATGATGACTGGTTGACAGCTTACACTTCTAAACATGTGTAATCAACTGTGATGTCGTGATTTGTTACGTCCGGTGGGCACTGACAAACACGATATTCGTTCTGCAGAGGTGATGCTGTAAAAGTGTCTCATTTCCATTAAACGTTCTTCTGTCTCAGCCCATGTGACTTCACGGGATGCTTGTATATTTACGGAATATTATCACAAGTTATTGCTACAATTATTTCCACAATATTTCCCCCATTGTTACAATAAACATAAAAGCCGTCATTCAACCGTGGCTGTAAGGAATATTGCAATTACCTGCCTCTTTGGTCGCTATCCATTCATTTCAACCAAAGAGTGATGTAAGTCAGATTTGTACGGCAGTGTGGGCACCCAGCAGTTATATCCTCAAATGTAATTGGACGGAGAATTTAGCCTTGTTCCCTACTTTCTAATCAAATGGAAGCTATAAATACTACAGTAAACATGTCAATTATGTGTTAATCGGATTTGTGTGGTTTGTCCCGAAATATATCAACCACCTCCCACGGTCATCACCAGCGGCCAATCAAAGCACAGAAGTCTGCTATTAGGCAACGCCACGTCCTGCGGGGACGCAGGCCTGGAAGTTATCTACAAAGTGTCAAAGTGACAGCAAAAAAATACTTTCTTTAACCCCCGTTTTTTTTATTTTCTGGAGGCAGCTTCCTGTAATTAGGTTCTGTCATACTGCTAGACGGTAAATGCATGCTTTTAAGGTTGCCAGCATCAAAGCAACTGTACATGAGGGATCACGCCCATGTACGCTTCCAAATGATTACAGTAAATCTCCGCCGACTTATATTTGATTTCTCTGCCGTGTGTGTCGGGTTTTAGCCGGGCGGTGTAGTATCTGAGCGTCGAATGCACGCCTTGTATTTTCACACATGTTCACAACGCAGACTGCCAAGAATCACAGTCCTCCCACATAGCGAGAATGGGATGAGCATGTCCATTGTGTTGCTGTGCTTCTGTGATTCAGATCTCTAGTGTGTGTGTGTGTGTGAGACAGCAGTAGAAAGTCCCCCCATATGTTCTCATAGTGCTGTCTCCATATTCACTCAATATGTTTGTTATATCAAATGAGTTGCACTTAGATTCACCTCGGAGCTTATTGTGCATGAATTAATACCACAAATGTTTGAAGTAACGTTCAAAGTTCTGGTTACTACATGAATCCTGTCCTATTTATTAACTATAAACTTTTGAAGAGGCATTTCTCATGCCCTTAAAAAATATCCGGCATCCAAGAAATGGGAGGCCTCTTGTAAACAACATTTTTCAGACGGACCTTTAATGAGCTCCTGCTAGATTTGACAGAAATCATAACTTTCATTTGATTCAACCGCCTTGCTAAAAACCGCTGAAAACATTCGAATGGTTTGAATGTAAACAGCAAGAATATACAACTACGTCCAATACTATTTAATTACTAGTTTACATAATCCGCATAAATACTAATACCAAACATCTAGCACATTAGGTACTACTTATTTAATCATGAATGTATCGTCTTACAGATATGATCAGCCATTATGTAAGAACGATATGTTAAAAATTCCCCAATTCAAAATAGCATATTTTGATGTTTTCAGGGGCTGGATCGTCATCTTCATATCAAGTAAGCAGAATTTGACCTCTGAGATTGGTGGATTTTCCCTTTCAACGCGTGTGCAGTAAACTCTAGTTTTCTCCATCTGCTTCCCACATTGTCACCGAGGCAGCTCAGCTTCTTGTTACCCGCTCAACTTGTGTGATTGCCTCTTTTCTTTGAGAACAGGGACAAGAAAATAAAAGCTCTGACTAGAAAGAAAACACTATTCGTCATGATTTCCTTCTGTATCTGAAATTGTCAGCTAGACTGCATTCGTCATCATTTTAACATGAAAGCCACTGTGTGTGGAATTCTAATGAGATAATTTGTTTGTTTACTAAATGTTGTCGATTTAATGCTGCAGCAGACTTCACAACCACGGACTGTGGGAACTGTTTACACTTTTATATGCATATGTGCTCACTGCACTTGACGACACCGTATTTAGTTTGCTGTGCTTTGAATAACTAATGTCCTCTTCAGTATGATTTTCACATAATCAGTCTCATACGCGACCTTAACTTCATTTGCGTTATGGTTACTGTGTAGCCAAATATCTTCTAACTTTTAACCTCTCTTTGCTTAATTCCATTCATCCCCATTGTGTAAACCCTTTTAACAAATCTACCAGGACACGCGTTATGTTTCGACGTGGCTCACGTGGTCCAGTGAGGACGGAGAGCGGTTGATCTGTGAGTGTAGACTCGCTGTCTAAGCCGGTTACAGCCGCAGTCACTCTGCACATGGTGGCTGGTCTGTGGGGCCGAGCCAGTGCTGGGAGTTTCTCACCCTGACACCTCGTCCGACCGCTCTCAAAATCGACGACGACGAGGAGGACGAACAAGACAGCCTGTAAGCATTTCTCAACGGTATTTTTTTTTGTATCAAATCTCTGGTGGCCATTAGGATATGAACTCAAAGATATACATTTTCAACTTTCGGTCGTTTTTGTTTCTCCAGATTTCCACCTATATCCTAATAATGAGTACTATTTTGTGTGTCTATACAAGGAAACATTGACTTTTGGTGTGATATGTGACATGTACTAAGTCTCCTGTGTGTTTCGCCCTGCCATCGACCTCAACTTCTTTTCTTTGCAGACTTTCTTTGAGACAAGGAAAATACATACGTTCACAGGCACTGGGATTCGCCCAATCTCCATGCTGTGGTACTAACCAAGACACACTGGCTTTGTTATACTCGTCTAGCGTTTATGACCTTTGTGTGGGAAGCGGTGCCTTACAGAGGCTGAACACAACCCATGCGGCCAAATGACCTTCACGGGACAAGCTTCAAAGGACTGCGTTGGTTACCGCCTCCATCCTGAGAAATCAATGCTCAATGAAACAAGCCGCTGGCTGTCCCGGCTTCTTCCTTTATGCGACATGTCACACAAGTCAGCTGGCTATTTATTGAAAAGCATTGAGGGGCCATCACAGCTGTGAACAGCATCAAAACATAAAAAGCATTACAACCTAAGCTCATTTTTCTCACTCTTTTTGTGTAAAAATACTTAGAATAGAAATGTAGAAGTAACCACACCAGCACGTCATCTACGGAGTAAATCTCACAGACGTACTTTTACTTTATATTGCTGCATTCTATTTACCTCAACAAGAACCTAATACCAATTCAACAGGTTTTTTTTTCTTTAAATCTCCTAAACGCACCAAAAACCAACCAAACACCTCTTGTTAATGAATCCCGTCCGTTGTGGCTGATGACAGTCCATTCATTCAGTGAT